TTTCTCCCGATCACCTTCCATAGAATGATGACATCATCGTCATTTAATCAGCTTCTTAAACAGATGACCTCATGGTGTGTAAACGATAGTATGACATCACCTTTCGGAGAGGAACAATCAGACATTGATATGTAAATCTTTCATTGAGACTTCAGATGTTTTTCTTTAGATTAATGGACAGCAGAGACTCTCTCGTGTGTGTGTGTGTGTGTGTGTGTGTGTGTTCGTAACTTAAATGGCTGTGTGTGACTGTCATTTCCCCATCATTAGTAAAGCTCTGATGACAGTGACAGTGCCTGGCACAAGCCCAAGCCCCTGGATCTCAGATTGATCAATAATTCATGCCAGATATTTGCAGTAACGACTATTAATGAGGCGCAGACATGGCTGCCGGAAAACCATCACCCCAACACATTAATTATGCACTGCATTAATCAAGACTACAATGAATTGAGAAAGAAAATTAAAGGTTTAGGGAGCGGAGCAACACCTTTGTGAGGTCGCGACATGTGTTGGCAAACAATAAGGAGCTGATCACATTGAATGGAGCACTAATAATAAACCAGTATTTTGCCATGCTTGCTACTGGCCGATGAACTGAGGAAATGTGCCAGGCATAAATACCTTTTATGAGCAATAAACTGCATTCACAATGTTTTATTCACAGGGAAATTAAGAAAAAGCATCTAATTACAATCATTTTCATCGTTATTATTATTGAATTAAATTACAAAAATGGATTACATAAAGAAATATTACTATAATATTAGAAATATTAACAATAAAAAATAACATTACGATAATATCAGAATTATTAATAATAAAAAATTACTATAATATTAAATATATTATTATTATTATTAATAATAATAATAATAATTACTATAATATTAGAAATATATACAAAAATAAATATTACCATCATATTAGAAATATTAACAATAAAAGGAAATATTACTATAATACTAAACTATTAATACAAAAAAATATTATTATAATATTAAAATATTAATAATAAAAGACATATTATTATAATATTAGAAATATTTATAATAAAAACAAAAATTGTAATATTAAAAATATTAATAATAAAAATATTACTATATTATTAATTTGTACTGCATAAACTTTTTAGTATTTCTTATGATAAATAATAATGACGATATTAATCTATGAAAATATTAAGTTAATAAAAAAAAATAAAAGTTAATTAAAATTAAAGTTAACTAAAAGTTATATTACAAAAGTCTTTGGGATACGCACTAAACCAGATGACATTCTCACGCATCATTTTAAATAAATAATTACAAGTAACTACTAAGTTTTATAATCACTAATAGGGCTGCATGATATTGGAAAAATCTGACATTGCGATATTTTGTTTTTCTGCGATATACCAACACAATCTCACGGCAATTCGTAACTTTTTGATTTAATGGCTAATTCGTACAATTTTGTTCGATTTGCTCATCACCCAATGACAGTTGGGTGTAGGGGTGGGGTTGGGTGCGACGCCACCTTTTTAAAATAGTACAATTACGTACGGCTGAACTTGCCACAAAACTTAAAATACTTACGTTTTCTCGTTAGATCAGGCTGGATATACTTTGTTATGTTTGGAAAAAAATTTTGGCCACACTTTATTATAAGTTTCAGTTCTTGCTCTTAAGCTGCCTTTCCGCTGAACACGACATTTGAACACAAATGTCGAAATACGCCCCCCTTGTGGCAGACACACAGAATTTTCAGTTTTGTCATGCACCATGGAAGAGAAGCAGATTTTTGTAGTGTCTGAAATAAAGGCGCGCAAAAGCAAGAGCGTTTATTCTCCATGCGCCCACCATGGCTGAATGAATAAATACTAGAAAAATTTTGGAGGGAATGTGGAGACAAAATAAAGAAATAGTATGTTTTTATACTCATTTATGAAAATAAATGTTTTTTTTTATTTATTTAGACTTTTTTTTTATTCCAAAAATAACCAATAAAGTTCTATTTCTCATCTCGCGCGCACGGACCTGCTTGGACAACACTGAAACACAGGACATCCGGTTGGCCAGTCTCATCCGGTCTAGTCGCAGGAGTTCAAATATTTCAATACGGATACGAATTTCCGCAAACGGAGATGATCGGAACTTCACGCAGCTCCTGGACTACTCTCCAATGACTTCCGGTCTGTCGCTTGTTGTTTGTCACGTGCAGTGGAAAGGAGGCTTTAGCAAGACGTTTTAACTTTTGCTTCAATAAACTCCTTATTTGCTTCTTATTAATAGTTCTTAAGGTATGTTAGGTTACTTTGTTAGTATTAAGGATGTAGAATAAGATCATAGAGAACATGTGCTTTCTCTAATATGCAGCCGCTATCTTAATAACATGCATGCTAATAAGCAACTAAGTTGATAGTGAGAATTGGTCCCTAAAGTGTTACACAAATGTAGTCATTTTGGAATAAAGACTGAGATGATTCTGTAGGGGAGTAAATCATGCATAACATGTAATAAACTAATTACAAGCGTAGATAAATACAACAAAGCAAAGATGAAGTGAAATAAACAGGGCATTGCTTTGTATATGTAAATGTGCAAAGTCAACTTAATTTAAATTGCAGATGCTGAAACATTTTATTTTGAAGCCCTACTCACTAATATCTATATACAGATGAAGTCAGAATTATTAGCCCCTATTAATTTTTTCAATGATGATTTTTCCAACACATTTCAAATCATAATAGTTTTAATATCTCATTTCTAATCACTGATTTATTTTATCTTTGTCATGATGACAGTAAATAATATTTGACTAGATATTTATCAAGACACTTCTAAACAGCTTAAAGTGACATTTAAAGGCTTAACTAGGTTAATTAGGTTAACTAGGCAGGTTAGGGTAATTAGGCAAGTTATTGTATAATGATGGTTTGTTCTGTAGACTATCGGAAAAATATATATAGCTTTAAGGGGCTAATAATTCTGACCTTAAAATGTCTTATATAAAAAGTGCATTAGAATCGAATTTGTTTCTAAGAAGCATTCAAAAATTAGATTGAACGACCAAAAACAAAACAAACAAACAAAACACATGGGTTTTGGGATGTATTAAATTATTTTAATTATTAACATTGCGATATGGATAACTCAACAATAATAGTTCACCCAAATCAATACTAAATAAAATTCTTGGAAGGCTGCAGGTTAGTAAATTAAGGCTGCATTTTAATTTTTGCTTTAACAATTTAAAATTTGATACAAATGCTGAACATCACTCAAAAGTTAAAAGTTTTTAAACATTAAAAGTTCAATAAAATTAAAACTTAGCGCAATAAAAGCTGTCAGCAGAATTTTCCTCCATAAAGTTAGTGAATAGTTTCCATTAGGGCCGATAAACGATATTATATCCAATTGCAATACGTTAACAACACTTATAAGCTCTGGACTTCATTTACTCTAGTCTATATTGGTCTAAAGAGTCAATCACACAGCTGAAATATTCAACAATGCGAATCTAAAAGTGTGTTGTTATTGGAGATGTGACTATTGCGACTATTGATGTACTATGCACAGATTTCAATATCGATGCTGAAATGATATATTGTGCAGCCCTACTCGCTTCATGCATAGATCAACAACAATTAACATAAAAAATGCATCAGAATCGAGTTTGTTTCTAATTAACATTAATAAGCATACAAAATTAGATCGAACAAAAACAAATCAAACAAACCAAACAAACAAAAAAAGGGGGGTTTTGGGACGCATTAAATTATATTAACTTATTGTGATACTCATAATTGAACAATAATAGTTCATGAAAATAAATACTAACTCGAATTCTTAAAGGCTGGAGGGTTAGTAAATGAGCGCTGCATTTTCATTTTTGAGTGGACTGTTTCTTTAACAATTTAAAAATCGATAAACGTGTTGAACAGTCAAAAACATCACTCAGCGACACACAAAATATCAAATAAAAGTTCAATAAAACTGAAAATTAGCACAATAAAAACTGTAAGCAAAAATTTCCTCTATAAAGTTAGTGAATAGTTCTCATTAGGCCCAATAAACGATATTGTATCGTATCGTGATAAAAAACTATGTTACTAACAATAAGCTCTCGACTTCACTTCATATTGATCTAAAGAAGCAATCACACAGCAGAAATGTTCAACAACAAGAATCTAAAACAAAGTGTTGATATTAGAGATGTGCCGAATTTTCAGCCTCCGAAAATTTATCCGCCGAAAAATATGTTATGCCATTTAAGGGCCCTCTGATTTTTGTGGCTTCAGTCAATATTGGGGTACTCTTTTAAATCTGGAAGCATTAACAACTGATATCAAAGAATATAATATTACCATTTATTATGGAAAATAATTATCGAGATCAGCTCTAGCTCCTATTTAATTTTATTTTAGTAGCATCTCTGTTAAAATGAACGCTCCTCCTAAGAGTTTATGGTTCCCATTTGATTTTCTTGTAGGAACATTTTCAAATGGATGTTCCCCAAATGATATTGAATGGTTCCCATTAGGTTTTCTCCTAGGAAAATGTTTAATTCTAACGTTAGTGTAGGGTTCCCACGTGATTTCATTGTATATTTACATTCCTAAACTGCCGTTAAATGTAACTGTTAGCTGGTTAATCAGCGGCGTGCACTGTTCAAATAAATAGAAATAAATAAATAAAGATCGCGTCCTGATGCGCACAATCCTTCATCCCAGTTTTAGATGATCATCATCATCATTCCTGTAGACCTGAGACCAACTGGGATTGTATAAATAACGTTAAACTGATTCATACAGTTCAATTAGCCAATTTCCTCCAGCATAAACACATATTCCCAGTCACTTTAGATCAAGCGCAGGTTATGCAGATCACACATGCACCCGCACGAACAAAGCGCGACCCCGAGCTCCAATCCGACACAAAGGATCCTCAACCGGCCGCTCGTACGCGAACGGAACCGGGCTGAGGAGCCGTCGTTCGGGCCCGCTGCTGTAGCGTTACCTTCATGCTCTTGATGGCCTCATATCCGTCCCGCACCGAGCGGATCTCGTCGTACACGGTTTCCCGCGGCAGCAGCAGCTGGTTGAGGATCTGCAGAGACCCGGACCGGTACCGGATCGCTTCCAGCGTCATGACCCGTACTGCGAGATGCGGCTGTCGGTTGGTGTTCCGGGAGCGCGGGCGCTGATGTGTGACGGGTTCCGTCGGTCCGTCTCGCGTCCCGTGGGTTCGGGGTGTGCTGAAAGCGGGGTGAGTCGCGGATCGCGGGGTGTGGGCGTAGTTTAAAGGCCTGCACTGACGGCTCGCGGAAGGGAACCGCGTGTTCGCTCCGGCAGGAAGCCCCGCGCGCTTGGCCACGCCCTCCTCCTGTCAATCATCCCGCGGAGCCTTTGACATTCAGATGAAGCCCTTTATTATTATTCCTATAAGCGACAATACGGCGATTCAGACTATTCTTAGGGAGGGTGAATGACCTGATGAAGAGCAGATGTTCAACACTAGACACCGAGGAAGATCGTGTTTATGTAGATGAACGGACGGACACACTCTTGAAGACCTTATTATTATCCGAGCAGATATTACAGGCCCGCAGCCAGCCTGGGGTGGTTCTTTTTTCTAAAAAATTGAACCTTTTTGCAATTATACGCCTCATTTTCTATTTAATTATGATATTTAAATACATTTTAAGCACTATTTTTAGCTGAATTTGCTTGTCGGACGGTCATCATAACCTCACTTTTTGATGTACCAAAATATTTACTAAAGATTTAGAATAGAGAAATGTGAAAAATGCTCATTTTTAAATTATAAATAACAAACTGGCCAGTGCATTCAACTTTCCTAACTTTTTAAATAAAAATAATAATAGTAATGTAGAGCTTTACAGTTTTTCTAGCATCTCTTGTAAAAAAAAGTACATTTGAAAATTCAAGGATAACAACTATAGCCAAAAAAGTATTCAAATTACTGTTAATATGCCCGCTTTTGGTGCTTAACACCTTTTTATTGGTCATTTTTTGTTTGAATAAGGTCATAAGATTTAGAACAAAATGTATTTGTAGTTAGTAGTTATCTCTTAAGAGCAATCTCGATCTGTTCCTCAGCCACCACAGCAGGGGAGTTCTCCAGATCTACCTGAGCACAAACTCCCCTCTTGCCTTGCAAATGGGAGGGAGCCCCGAGCTCAGGGCTCTCTCCCGGGACAGCATGCCTAACAAGCTTTATAATCAATCAGAACTCTTGAACTTTATAATAGGCAGCAAGGACATTTTGTGTTCCCTATGCAAATGAAATCAGAGCAGAAACACACGAGTGCACGAATGATCCCTTTTAAGTCAGCTTCTCTTTTTATTATTACATTAGACGTCGCATCCTTCATCGTAGACACATGAATGCAGCTTTTATAAAACAGACCCATCCTCAGGACACACAGTAATACATTAGTCATGATTGCCTTCAGTATGTGTTAATAATAAGAATAACCTCATCTGTACATGCTGGAGTGACGGAGACGGGCTGATGGGGTTCAGACACCGAAAAATAAAGAGCTCGTCATGGAAAGCAGCTTTAACAAACCAAACAAACAAACAAACAAACAAACAGAGCTGATATGATGATCGACTGGATCACAGATCTGACCAACACAAACAACCACTGGGTCATAATGTGCGGGTCAGGGGTTAAAGATCAGGGCCGTTTGACAACGAAACACACAAGAGGAAGAAAAGAGACGACCGATTCCCTAAAACAAGCTGATCTCAGCAACTGAATGAAACACACACACACACACACACACACACACACACACACACACACACACACACACACACACACACACTCTGAAACCTTCATCGTATCACTTTCCCAGAGACTAAACCTCTTCATATACACTCAGATGATTTTATCAAACCAAACCAAGAAACACACACACACACACACACACACACACATTCAAACACACAGGCCAATACACACTCTCAGAACACCTACACAGTCATTCAGAAACACACACAAACACACACACTCTCTCTCACACACACACACACACACACACACACACACACACACACTCTCTCTCTCTCTCACACACACACACACACACACACACACACACACACACCCCTCCCCCTCCTCACACACTGCTCTTGTTCTCCAGCGGCTGCAGAAGCGTCGTCTGCGGATCATCTGCGATTACAGGATATTATCCGCATCTCCATCTCTCTCTCACACACACACACACTCCAACATCTTCCCTGGAGTGCTCCGATTATTCCCGTATCACGGCCACGCAGCGGCTTTATCCTAATCGGGGAACTCTGTAGCGCACAGATTATTGTAAGAGCGCAGACTTACAGCAGCAGAGCCTGGAGGAGGACAAGAGCAGACCTGCGCTCCATTTACTGACACACACACACACACATCAAGCTGAAGCACATGGAATGACGGATGTTATTCTGTTCATGGAGACGCTTTTAATATATATGTAATGCATTTTAGGGGGAATCTCACAAAATAATGCCATAATTCATCAATTATTAATCAATATATATGAAATAAGCATATTTAAAGTGACAATTAAACACATTTACCATCAGTGTGGTGCAAATATAGATATTATCATCACTGTTTTAACATCTTAAGAGTTCCTTTGCTTCATAAATATTCTCTTTTGTAGAGTTTAATTGGGTGACACGGTGGCTCAGTGGTTAGCACTGTGGCCTCACAGCAGGAAGGTCCCTGGTTCACACTCATACCCTACAGCCAATTTAGTTTATTCAATTCCCCTACAGGGGCGTCACGGTGGTGCAGTGGGTAGCAGGATCGCCCTTACAGCAAGAAGGTTGCTGGTTCGAGTCCCGGCTGGGTCAGTTGGCATTTCTGTGTGGAGTTTGCATGTTGTCCTTAGTTGGCATGGGTTGCCTTTGGGTGCTACGGTTTCCCCTACAGTCCAAACACATGCGCTATAGGGGAAATGATGAACTAAAACTGGCCATAGTGTGTGTGTGTAAGCCCTATAATTGTGTACAGTTTGTCACAATCGTTCGGACGAGCATTTTTTATTATAGTAATCTGAGAAATTGTTTCATATTATCTTAATTAAAAGGCCTGTGAAGTGTTTTGACATGTGCAGTTTGTTCGATGTGTGACGTAATTTAAACTAAAACATGAAGACAGGGCGGGGCATATATTAGCCCCTCCTCTTTAAAAAAAAAACAGCCAATAGCATTTTATTTTTATCACAGCTCTGCCATCCCTCTGCATAAATGGGGCGGGGCATGTCAGACATTACAGAGAATTTGATTAGTCAAGAATTGATGATAAAATGAAGTATGATGTGATGTCTAAGTAACTGTTGATCCATTTGGGCGGACTCATCATGTCATCTTAATGCAGGTCATCTGATAATTAAGACTAACTAAGGGTTTCATGGTGGCTCAGTGGTTAGCACTCACGGCAAGAAAGTCACTGGTTCGAATCCCGGCTGGGTCAGTTGACATTTCTGTGTGGAGTTTGCATGTTCTCCTCTGGTTCCTCTGGGTGCTGCGGTGAATTGATGAACTAAATTGGCTGTAGTGTATGGGTGTTTCCCAGTACTGGGTTGCGGCTGAAAAGGCATCCGCTGCATAAAACATATGCTGGAATATTTGGTGGTTCATTCCGCTGTGACAACCATTGATGAATAAAGGGACTAAGCTGAAGTAAAATGAATGAATGAATGTGTTTAATTGTCATAAAGAAGTTTGATGAACAAAACCATCTTCATGATGCTCCCAAAATAATCTTAATTCTAATATATTTCGCCAAGTGTCTGTTTATAAAGATGTACACGTCTTTTTGTTTACGTAAAGTATTTTATGATAATTTGAATGAATAATTAAGCACCGTTAGAAAAATCTAAACTAAACACATAATTTTTTTTTGTTTTAGAAATATTTTTAATTTGTTTTTTAGAATTTTAGTGAAAAATAAACCTCTTACAGCAAATATGGCCATGTCCTATGCTTAATTTACAGTGTAAATGATGTATTAATTACAGTTTAAATGTATGTAGTGTTCACCTTAAAATCTTAAAGTGGTAGTTCACCCAAAACTGAAAACCCTGTCATCATTTACACATCTTCTTTCACTTTTTTTTTTTTTTTTTACAAACCTAATGGAGTTTCTGTTGAACACAAAAAAGATATACTGAAGAATGTTGAAAGACAAAAAAATATAATTAGTTGGCATTCAGGCTGTTTATTTTATGTTAAACACAAAAAAGAATGTAAGAAACCGGTAACCATTGACTTACATTGTTTTTTCTGTAATTGAAGTCATAGGCTACCGGGTTCCAACATTCTTCAAAGTATCTTTTTTGTGTTCAACAGAACAGACAATCAGGTTGTTTATTTTCTGTTAAAAACAAAAAAAGATATTTTGAAGAAAGTTAGAAACCGGTAACCACTGTCTTCCATTGCAGAAAAAAACAATGGAAGTCAATGGTTACCAGTTTATAACATTCATCAAATTATCGTCTTTTGTGTTCAAGTAAACAGACATTCAGGCTGTTTACTTTCTGTTGAACACAACAGAAGATCTTTTGAAGAATGGGTAACATATTTTGATGGTCCATTTGAGTATTAGTAGACTGTCTGCTCCATCTACAGACATTTAACTGACTAGAATAAACTTTTCAAGTACTTGTCAATTTACACTAACACTAACCCAAACCCCAACCTAACAGTCTAATCTAATGGGAATTAGTTGCAATGTAACTTAAATTCAACAAACAGACCATCAAAATAAAGTGTGACAGAAGAATGTTAGCAACTGGTAACCATTGACTTCCATTGCAGGTAAAACAATGGAAGTCGATGGTTACCGATTTCTAACATTCTTCAAAGTATCTATTTTGTGTTCTGTTGAACACATTCAGGTTGTTTCCTTTCTATTGAACACAAAAGAAGATAATTTGAAGAATGTTAGAAACCGGTAACCATTGACTTCCATTGCAGGTAAAACAATTGAAGTCAATGGTTACCGATTTCTCACATTCAAGTATCTTTTTTTGTGTGTTCAACAGAAAATAGAACATAAGAATGTCAACAAACATTAAGGAAATGTTCATTTATGGGTGAACTATCCTTTAAGTGAGATTTGATGTCTTCTCTCTTTCCTTTAATTCCTGCACAGGTGAGATTCCCCCTACAGTGACAGACCCCCATCTTCAGTTTTACACCAGTCAACATTCAGACGTCGCTCAGGAGTGTTTTGATGCTTTGAACTGCAACAACGAAGTGCAGTAATGAAAAAGTGCATAATTGCATGTGTGTGTGTGTGTGTGTAGTGTTTTGTCGTTCCTCTCTGGAGCTCCGTTATGCATCTGTCAGGATTCATCTCCATTCTTCATGATGTGAGCGGAGTCTTCAGTCTCTGACGGCGCGCTTCTTCCTGACGGACTCCAGCTGTGAGGATGAGAAACACCACAGTGAGTTGACTGAGAACGTGGGTGACACACACACACACACACACACACACACACACTCAACACTTTAATATGCACCTCGTTCTCCACCATCTTCAGTCGGCCGAGGGCGTCTTTTGCTGCTTCCTGAGAACAACAACAGCAGTTTTTGAGCTTTGGTTAAATAATGAAGAATTCAGAGCTGCAGAAATGTGTCGTCCAGCTGCTGCTGAGTTTAAACACACTGTAAAACATCTGTATGAGCTGCAGGGGAGACTGAAGTAAGGGATAATCAATGGCTGGCTGTGCATTAAATGAGGCATTAATGACATCTAGGAGGTTGCTATCGATAAACAACAGACATGTATAAAACTATATGCAGGTTAGTGTATGCTGTCATTCAGCTGTTCTTGTTTCTGTCAGCTTTGAGTTACATTAAAGAATTAATAAACTATTAAGACTCTGAACAATGTTTTGTGCCTAATTATGTGGCAATTAGTCATGTAATAAGCAGGATAAAGTACTTTCAAGCGGTTGTTTTTGCAGAATAAAACCCTTCAGTCTTAAACAACAGTTGCTGATAAGCCTGATATGCAAAACTAAGTGGCTGGATTTACTTTATACCACTTATTACAAGGCTATTACAAGGCAAACAATGTTCTGAGGCACGATTATTAATGTTTATAAACCTCTTATGGCCCGTTTCCACTGAGTGGTACAGTATGGTACAGGTCGGTACAGGTCACCTTTTATCAGGCTTGCTTTTTCACTGCCAAAAGGATACCAGTGGTCGTTCACATATCATATGAAAAGCACTTCTCACAAAACAGATTCTTCTTTACACACATAAATACTTGTGTATAAAGGTTCATTACTAACCTTTCTATGAACATGATTTGATGATAACTGCAGATCAATGATGATGTGAAATCATCTGTAAACCTACTGTAACGTCTGTGATTATGTAAAATAAATATATAAATGAACATATATGAACACATACAGCCCCTTACAGTCTCCGATATGTTATCAATTACAGAAAAACTACAAACAGCATATATTTAGTCCTTATTTAGCTTAAAAAAAAAAAACACGAAATATAGCCAGTCAGTGCAAACCTCTCATCTGTATCTTCAGCAGCACATGTAACCTCTTGTTAGAAAGTAATTCCGTCATTCCGAGTTCACAATAGTCCAAAAGTTGGTGATAATATTTAAACATGGCAGTTTGTTCACGATTTAGGTTGCTGAAAGAATCATTTGCTCTGTTTTTTCCGGCTTCTCCTTTGTTTTTTCGTGATTTACTCTTATTTTTGTCTGTTTCTGAAAGGATCGGATGTCAGAAGCGCTTCAATAATCACCCGCACATTATATCATCTGCTTAAAAAGTTCCTTATTTCAAATATAGACGCACAAGCGAGCTCTCTGGAGAAAGTGAAACCGCTTGCACTTTCAGACGGCATCGTAAAACTAATAGTTTTATGGTTGTTCATCAAGATAACGACAAGGTTTGTTTAAGTTCGGGTTGACCATGGCTTGTTATATAAAGTAAAATTACTACGGTGTAATGTCTTGGCTGTGCTTTTAAAAAACAGCGCTTCCTTTGTTTACATTCTTTGCTTGTGTATGCACTAGTGACGTTTCTCTGTAAACCTATAGCGTTGAGCTGCGCGTCAAGCTCTGCTCTAGCTTTGTCATGCTAGGCACACTTTGCAAAGGGTACTTAAAAAGTAGTACTGTACGGTTTGCTTTTTAGTACCTTTTGACAGTTGAAGTGGCCATAAAAGCATAGCGAACCGTACCGTATCACTCAGTGGAAACGGGCCATTGAAGTCAAGTGCTATTTTGAGGTTTCCTTCTGGATTTTGCCAACCCAGATTCAAAAGCTTCCCAGATCCACATGCAGAGGTGTAAATGCAAAAGTTTAGTATCATTTTAAAGAAAACCCTTTTAATTTTCATAAAACACTATTGAAAGTTATTAAAATAATTGTATATGTTGTCTTTTTTTATAATAAACTTCTCCAAAAAAAAGAGGCGCTATTTTGTTGTTGTAAACTCTAATTTTAAAGTGTACCTTTTAGGTTCTGTATGGTCTAGGTAGCTGTAATTAATTTTAGTGGTTTCTACACATGTCAGCAATCATAGAAAATCAGACAGAAATGAACACATCTGAATGGAACATTTACTAACCTTCATATTATTCAGTCAAAAGATAGCGCCAAACAGTCCAAAACTATATATATATGGATGTGAACTGACAGTCAAGATGATTGAAAGTACCTGAACAAACCTGTGTTATTAGTTTCAGTGGTTGTTATCCAGGAATAACATAACTTGGAAAGTTGTGACTGACCAATCAGATTCAAGTATTCTAGTCAGCCATGTAATTAAGGACTCACATTTTTGAGCCCAGAACTCAGTCTAATTATTCACTAATATAAATGTATGCACATATACAGTACTCAAGACCAGAAGTGGCCAAAACTTTCATCAAAATTGTGCTAAAGCTATCCAACACCCATTCTAGTCTTATTAATTGTAAAAAAAATTTGATCCTCTTTTAATGTTGGCTGATTCAGTTATTATATTAGTATGACTAATTTATAGGCAATTCTTTAGACCTATGTACAATACAGTTTAACAGAAAATAGACTCAATGTGAGGCAGACATCACAGCAGCTGACGTCTGAACACAGGAGTGTGTGCTTTTCTCACCCTGTTGCCTTGATTGGAAAATGTTTTCACTGAATCCGAGAGACCGTGAACGAACTTCCGCAGCACATTTTCATATTCTGAGACACACACAAAGAGAGAGAAAGAGAGATTATTATTATCTGTTTTGTTCCAGAGTGTCTCTCATATGTAGTACAGTTCATTCAGATACCTTTGATAAACAACTTAAATCACAGATCTGTAGACATCCCTGATCTATATTATATTACCCCGCATTTTTTAAATGTTCTTTTAAGAACACTCGGAGAACATTTAAAAATCAACTAGACAAGATTCTAAAATGGAATGTTCTTAATGTTCTGAGGACATTCCAAAATACATTTTCAAATCATAACAGGAATTGCCTTATAGTTTTGTTATTAGTGTAATCACAGAAGTTGATATTGAGGCCTGTTTTTTTATTCAATCACAAGTAGACAATATTTAACAGAGTAATAAATGAGGTCTGAAATGTTTAAAAGTTTGTCCTCTAAATGAGTTCCAGAGGCAGTCAAAAATGTTTTGCAGTAACAGCAATGTAGCACTATTGCAAGCAGCATGTATAACACTACATAGAAATGTCCTGTTGGTGGGCTTTTGGAGAGAACTTATTGTGTCTTCCAGTGAGCATGTGCAGTTCCTGCATAGATAAGTATACATGTACAAGAGCACAATACTGAGCTATTTGGAACTTTGACGAAGCATAGGAGAAAACTATAAATGGTGCACTCTGCTTTCACAAACCACTCTGAAGCAGTACAAGCCACTGAAATGAATAGGATTTCATAGCGCATTGCTTTCTGTGTCCGATCTGCAAGCCGCACTGCCTACAACTCATATCTTCATCTGTTTTTCTAAGTATTTTGGACTTTGACAAAGTGTAGATGCAAACTAATAAATGGTGCGCTCTGCTTTTCTCGACATGGCAACAAACCGCTCTGCTGTGGCAGAAGCCATTAAAATGAATGGGATTTTTTAGCGTATCGCATTCTGTGTCTGGTCTGAAAGCCACACTGCCTCAGACTCATATTTTCACAGTTTTATCTAACTATTTTGAACTTTAATGAAGCGTAGATGCAAACTAATAAATAATGTGCTTTGCTTTTGTTGACATGGCAACAAACTGCTCTGCTGCAGCACAAGCCATTGAAATGAATGGGATTTTATAGCGCAGCGCTTTCTGTGTCCAGTCTGAAAGCCGCACTGCCTACGACTCATATTTTCACCTGTTTTTCTAACTATTTTGAACTTTCATGAAGCTTCGTTGCATCGAGATGGAGCAAACCACTCTTCTGCAGCAGAAGCAATTGAAATGAATCAGATTTTATAGTGCATTACTTTCTGTGTAAGGTCTGAAAGCCGCACTGCCTACGACTCATATTTTCACCTGTTTTTTCATTTCGAAACTTGCCAAAGCATTTGTGCAAACTAATAAATGGTGCGCTTTGATTTGTCAACATAGCAACAAACCACTCCAAGCCATTAAAATGAATGGGATTTTATAGCGCATCGCTTTCCGTGTCCAGTCTGAAAGCCGCACTGTCTAAGACATATATTTTTACAGTTTTTTCTAACTATTTTGAACTTTGATGAAGCGTAGATGCAAACTAATAAATAATGCACTTTGCTTTTGTTGACATGGCAACAAACTGCTCTGCTGCAGCACAAGCCAATAAAATTAATGGGATTTTATAGCGCATCGCTTTCTGTGTCCTGTCTGAAAGCTGCACTGCCTACGACTCAAATTTTCACCTGGTATTCTTTTTGAACTAAAAAATGAAAGTGCCATTTGTGACATATGTGACTAACCATTCAATGCACCCCTAATTACAAGTTTATTCAGCACCAGGTGTAAAGCATCCTTAGTGGTGTCGTACCTGTCAGTGCAGCCGGGTGTTTCTCCAGGTATGATTTCTGCCACTGCAGTCGCTGACAGACGTCCATGTGCTGCTTGATCACCTCTGAAGGGTCTCGTCGGTTCTTCTTATATTCGTTGATCTGCAGAAATAACTCATGAAACACTGTATCTGCTCAGATAGAGTCAGTAACCCATGAATAATCCTGACACACACCTTCCACTCCAGCCTCTCTTTATCATGGTGCAGCAGACTGAAGCTGTGCAGTTTATACTGTGGAGGAGATGAGCTGAAACACAAAGACACACACACAGACATTAAGCACACTCACAGAGAAACAAGCACACAGTGAGTGTCATACAAGCTAGCTTTAGTTTTACCTTGTTTTATGGTTTCTGTCGTGATCGTTTCTGGGTTTGGATCTCGGAGATGGAGCCTGTTGGAAAGAAAATGTCTTATGAGGTTTAAATTCAATCCAATTCAATTTGTTTTCTACAGCGCATTTACTATATATATGGTGTCAAAGCATCAAAGCAACCTAGATGAAGAAAAGAGAATAAAAAAGCCACAAAAATGTTTCAGATAGTTCTCAATACAGTGTGGAATAAAAGCAGCATGACATTTTCCTGAATGACATCCAGTAATTGTTTCGTACTAATTCTGAGTTATGTTTGAGAATTAAAAATTTTTTTCAAGTGATATATGCATTTTACTAGGTGAAAAATTCCTTTAAAGGCATCGTATGTAATTTTGGCCACTAGAGGGCGTGTATTAACAACAAACAAAATTGTATTTTGATGATGAATGAGTGTGGAATCATGGGAGTTGTGCTCTAGGCAAGTCATTGGCTGCGTCCGAAACCGCCTACTACTCAGTAGGTACTGCATTTGAATTTAAACGTACTACTCGGCCATTAGAAAAGTATGTTCTATACAGTATGAATGTGAAAAGTATGAACGGAATTCGGACGTACTACATCCGCCATTTTGTCATGGTCTCGTGACCTACCTGCGTCAGTTGCGTCGCTTTACTTCCATACATGAATTCTCTCGCGGGGCATCATGGGATAGCGCAGCATGCATGGGATGCGCACTCCGGATTTTCGCCGGAAGTAGTAAGTCATCCGGGTACTTCTCGCATACTGATTTTCGAATTCTATGAATTCGGACATACTACTCGGCTCACATACTGATTTTGGTGTACTATATAGTATGGAAGTATGCGGTTTCGGACGCAGCGAAAGTCTACAATTCTAACAGTTTACAATTTACTTTTGTTCTTAAAACTATAACGCTTTATAACCTAAAATCTTGGCAAGTTTTTATTTTTTAATGTAAGCATTTTAAAAAAATGTATTTATTATAAAGCATGCTGCGTTGTGTTTTTATTATTATTATTCTTTATTGTATTGTTTTTGTTTGTATGATGCGTCTTATAATGCTACTGCCCAATTTCAGTTGCCCAATTCAGAATTAATAAAGCTGTAAAGGGTATTGCACACTGAATCCAAAATTATCGTTGGTAATTTTCGCACATTAAAAAATAAATCCGACCTCACGTTGTGTGAATCGTACTAACACACTGCCTCCGAAACTATCGCCCGTCATAAAAAATTCAAACTGGGTTCCGTTGCTTCGACACGTCAAGTCGGCCACCATCTACTATAGTGTCTGTAGGTACAGTCTCTGTTCAGGATCTGTTTACATATGTGAATGTGTGAAGCATTACAAGCAATATGTCAAAATTCCACTGATTTCCTGAAATAAACTTTGCATTTTGAGATATTCGTATCGCAGCTCTTTGATATTGAGCAGGACTCTCCTTCCTCTATTGGATGAACACAATATGTAGCCTATTCCTCTTTCATTTTCTACATTGGAGAAGAGAAGAGAAGAGAACAAAGCATCACTGCTTGAACTGACTCCGAAATGTTTGATGGATTAACTAATGCGCAGTTGACTTAATGTGCAAGGTTTATTTACTTTTGCATATAAATACGAAAAAAACGCAAACGCAAATTTCAGACTTCAGTGTGTTTAGTGGGAAGCATGAACGTCTCACAGCAAGAAGGTCGCTGGTTTGAGCCTCGGCTGGGTCAGTTGGCACTTCTGTGTGGAGTTTGCATGTTCTCCCTGCATTCGTGTGGGTTTCCTCCGGGTTCTCCGGTTTCCCCCACAGTCCAAAGACATGCGGTACAGGTGAATTGGGTAAGCTAACATTGTCCATAGTGTATGTGTGTGTATGGGTGTTTCCCCAGTGATGGGTTGCAGCTGGAAGGACATCCGCTGTGTAAAACGCATGCTGGATAAGTTGGCGGTTCATTTCGCTGTGGCGACCCCAGATTAATAAAGAGACTAAGCCAAAAAGAAAATTAATTCCAGCCATACTTAAACACTCCAGACTTTCTCCAGCAGACGAAAAACTATTATCTTAATATCTAAAATCTACTAAAAATTTCTTGGAAAATGTTCATGTTTCACATTATGGGCTAATAGTTTAGCATTAGGTGTACATGTGATTAGCATCTCATACCCGTTCCTTTTCTCTGCCTTTCTCTGGCTCTCTGTCCTTCTGCTGCTCTCTGTGTTTCTCTGGTGAGGGTGTGAGAGGGTCGAGCACCAGCCACTTCTCTGTCACAGACTGCAGCTGAGATCCCGCCAGTGGCTCTCGGATCTTCACCCGCACCTCCAGCTTTCCTCCCGTCGCCTTTCGCCCGTCCAGAACCTGCAGACGCAGCACAGACTCATGGGACACTGCCACTCATGTGAGTTAGATACATAAGTGTGTGTACGTGTATGAAAATCACTCACATCTACAATCTCCCTGATCTCACACTGGTTCTCCAGGGCTTCCAGCTTCAGCTGAGCACTTCCTACCACTTTATCATTCTTGAAGAGGCCACTGAGAAACATCACAAATGATTATTGAATCTATGCCACATAAGACAAATAAAGCATTCTTATAAACCTACAATTATTTTTTATTTGCATTAATTTTCCCCCCCTCAACATTTCTTTTTTGAAAAAAAAAAAACAAATTAAGACAAGTAATTAAAATTTATTTTACAAATTAAATTATTTAATGATTACTAAAGGATTTAAATTGTAGCAAAATAACTAAATTGATTACAAATTATAATATAAAATAAAAAAAATATATATAATAAAAAATATATAAAATGATTTTATATGGCACCATTTTCAGGACAATAAAAATACATTTAATTTATTTATGCAAATCATTTCTAAACAAAACTAATTGCTTATAATAAAATATATAAATGATAATAAAAATATTAAAATATTTCAAATGAAATTATAGTTTAAAGATTTTTGCACAATTTTCAGGGAAAATTAAGAAAACATGTGTGTAAACATTTAGTGACAATGATAGTTTAATTATATTATTCCAAACAAAATCACATGAATTAGCAAAATTATAATAATAATAATAATAGTAATAATAATAACAATAAAAATAATAATAATAATAATAACAATAAAAAAAATAATAATAATAACAATAATAATGATAATAATAATAATAATAATAATAATAATAATGATAAAATAAATATTAAATTGCAAATATTTTACAGTGATGAGAATTTGGGAGAGGAATTTGTAAAAAGATAAACTGTCACAGAATCAAAATCTTTATATCCCTTGATTTACTTTAAGGAAATCAATTAGCAAATAATTTGCATAGACATGGACATGTGCGTTTGCTCTCAGTGATGAATGCGAGTCTCACCCTTTGTGCACCACCTCCAGCTTGATGCCTTTGGCCTGAACCACTCTCCTGAAGCCTCTGTGATCTCGCTTGATGTTCAGCTTGAACTGCTCCTTAAACTCTGAACACACACACAGACACAGACACATGCATACACACAACATGAGGATCTAAAGCAGCCTGTCGACTATTTGTGCATTTGTGCGTAAGTGTGATAGTGTGTCGGTGTGCATTTATGCATGTGTGTATGTGTGTGTACCTGGACTGTTGGTGTTTTTCACAGTGCTTGTTTTGTCTTTCTGAGCTTCTTCCTAAGAAAAAGAAAAACACACTGTTATTCCACAAGCGTGTGTGTTGGTTTACAAGCACACAAATGTGTATAATGACCTAGTTGTACTCTATTAAGGTGGTTTTTGTGGACATGTCTTGTGTCCTCATAATACAAAATGCTTAAAAATATAAAATACATTATGCCTATGGACAATATTTGTACACCACCAATATCAACACAGCTGTGTGTGTGTGTGAGAGAGAGAGAGAGAGAGATGTTTTGTTATTATTATACAATTATTATTATATTATACAAGTACAAGGAGATAGTGAATTATGAGGACACTGCTGATGTCCACATTTTTCATAAAGTTTAGAAGTCATACAGAAGAAGTTTTTAGAAAGTAAAAATGCACAGTTTTCTGTAAGCATTGGGGTATTGGGGTTGCCTGATAGACATATGATATGAAGTGGGTCTCAGATCGGACAAAAAGCACTGCATTAAATTCCATTTACCCGCGCCATGTCTTTCAAGAGTTCACACTTAGCTGATGATCTATCAAAAGCTTGTTTGGCATGCTGTCCCGGGAGAGAGCCCCGAGCTCAAGGGATCCTCGAGCCAGAGGCTTCCTCCCATTCGCAGAGCGAGAGGGGAGCTTGAGCTCGGTGGATCTCAGAACTCCCCGGCTGCTATAGCTAAGGGAACACGTGAGAAAGGGGCTAGACGAGTGCTCGATTGTTATGCATGATGCATATCTTTGGATGGTGGGAGGAAACCGGAAACCCGGGGAAAACCCACGCGGACACGGGGAGAATATACAAACTCCTCACAGAAACGCCTGGCGGGACCAAGGCCAGCAGTGTTCTTGCTGTGGAGCTAACAGTGCTAAACATTGGGCCACTGTGCCGCCAGATCAATGGTTAAGGAGGAGAATTTGTGGAGTAAGGGGGTATGAAAACTCTGGTTATTTATAGTAGCTTAAGGCTCATATGATTGGAAGATAATGATTAGCTAATACAAGACCGGCTGTGATAAATCATAAGCACTCAATTAGTTTATAAACAAACCTCACTTAAAATATGACCGGTTATTTTACCCCAGTATTTTCAATGGAGTTTCTGTGCTCGGCTGCTGCTACTGACGGCGCTAGTGGTTACACGGTGTTTCATTTCGAATTACACTTGAACATCTAAATGAATGCTTAAGTCAAAAAGAATGTCAAAAGAATTCTGAACAATCCATCTCATGTAATCTTTCCATCTTATGATCTTTTACCTCCTGATAGAAGATACAGAACATTCCGCTGGAAGTGGAACAGACTTAAGAACCCTTTTATCCCAGTGTCAATTAGACTGTTGAACACTGATCGATAGTGTTTTTTCCTGTATGTAATTCTTTTGCATGTTCGCTTATTTTATCATTTTTGTGTGTCAAAACTTACTGAAGGGCTCTATGAGTTCACAAAAAAGTTCTAATTTTAGACAATAAAGTTTACAAACAAACAAACGTTAGTCTCTTACTGGAAGTTTATCATTGGCTAATAAACTCTAGCTGTGCATAGAGCCCATTACCAAAAGCAAACGTGTGTCTCTGTGTGTGTTTGTGTGTGTACAAGTTTAAAAGTGTTGTGTACCGCACTGGGAAAGGGAAACTCAAAGCGCACACTTGCATCCAGATCATTGGCTGAACCTCCTGGAGAAAACAGAGAGATAAATAATAATAATATTGAATCACATCATATTTTAATGTTTATTTAATGTAGGTTACGCAGATTTAGGCCCAATCCCAATTCTATTTTTGTACCCCTTCCCCTTGGCCCTTGCAACCGAGAATTAAGGGGAAGGGCTTCAAAATTTACCCCTAAGAATTGGGACAGCACTGCAGCACCTGCACACGCCATCACATCTCTTGCTTTATATGAGATCAGACGATCGCGACTGCTGTAGTGATTCCAGTCGTGTTATTTTTGGTTATTTTTTCTTCAGGAAATCACTGAAGGCATATATTATGTTATCATAACGATCTAATGTGGCAATACGATCGTAACAGTACTGTTACACATTTACATTTACACAGTGGCCATATTCATCTTTTGAACTTTATATATCGAACATTACTGACAGCAGCCCTTTACTATATATTAATAAGAGAATGCTTAATGCGAAGATCAAAACATGCCACAAATTAGATATAAGAGATGTGTCATAACAATACATTTTTTAGTAATCAGTTATTTAAAACACACACACACACACACACAAACACACTGACCTGGAGGGGGCGGCAGGTTGATACCCTTCACGATGTACAGCATCATTTCATTGGCTGTGAGGTTAGGAAAGATCCTGAACACAGAGATGGGGACGAAAGAGCATGACATTCATTCTGAAGGGTGTGTGTGTGTGTGTGTGTGTGTGTGTGCATGCGTGTTCTTACTTGACAGTGTTGAATGTTCTCTCCTCTGTGTGATATTTAGGCACTGATCGTCCTTTAGCGTGGGCTTTCTTTAAGATGTCAATACTATTCATGCACTCTTCAGCCAGCTTCTCAAACCTACACACACACACACACACACACACACACGCACACGCAAACAAATATGAAAAAATATATGAGAGTCCTTAAGGTTATTCACTTATAGACCTTTTTCATGGCTGCTGCATGGAGGGCGCCATAGCAACCAGCGTCTTCCGGTAGAATGCTAAAAACTTTTGTTTACAGCGTGTTCAACTGGTAATTTGCGCTCCGAAAAATGGGTTTCAATAACGTTTTTAATGGATAACAGAGTGTTTTTGTGACACACAACTTAGAAATGTGTCTGGTAAAGCCGTTATAATCTGTCACATGTGGTTCAAGCGTGTCAGAAATACGAGAAAAACGTTCTCCTAGTTCACATGTCTGCCGTCAGAAATAGTGTGTGTTTGTGCGTTCCCGGCCAGTCAGCTGTTAGCATAGCAGCTCTTTAACACATACAGATAGAGAGAGAGAGAGAGAGAGAGAGAAAGAGAGAAAGAGAGAGAGAGAGAGAGAGAGAGAGAGAGAGAGAGAGAGAGAGAGAGAGAGAGAGAGAGAGAGCGCAAACCAGAGTACTGGCATGAAACTTAACAGGTATGAAAGTCGTGCAATTTACAAAAATGACCAATAAAAGTCTGTTATTGATCCTCTGCTGGCTGATTTGCTGTTCAATCTAATCGCGAGCCGTTTGTGTTTTATTTCGAGTGTTGTTTTCACCACGGTTTGTGTTTTTCTGTCATTTCGAAATGACACTAGCCTATATTTTCACTTTGTCACAGTTATTAAATCAGTGTGTCAGTGGCACAGTACAGGCTACGTGTGTGTGTCAAACATTTTGGTGAATTACATTAGTTTGGGCTGGTTATATATTTGAAATAAAGAGAAAATGTTGACTTTAGCGATGACGAGGCTTCATTTACACATCCTATTAGATCGCATTTCTTTAAATGATCAGTCCAGGAGATGGTGCTGATGGACAACAGTATTAGTTCAGAGGATAAAAGCAGGTAAAATAGATTAAAACTATCGTTTCAAAGCTGTCCAAATGTGACTGTTTACAAGCATCAGCTGCCGACCGGAAGTTCTTCGCATTCTCCTTGCGCATCCACACAAAGCATAATGGGTAATTTTGCGTTCCAAGAAAAAGGTCTATATATTTACCTTTTGCCTACTTTTTGTGTACTCTCATGTTAAATAGTGTTTGTATATGTAAGTAAATGTGATCATTTATGCAATAAAAATGCAAAAAAAGGTAAAATAAAACAGCATTTATAAGAAATGTAAAGTAAAATATATGAATAAAGAATATATGAATATAAATGTTTGCAATTTAAATGTATTAATTGCCACTTTTCATCAATTGCAAGCTGTTTTGTTGAATAGGAGCAGTGATTTCTGTAGTGTGCTCTTATATGAGAGTAACTCCACACACCTGGCAGTCTCTGCTATGTTCCCCATGTGAGTGAACTGCTGCGAGTAGGCCAGACATTTCTGCAAAACACACATTCATCATTTAGAGAGTAAACTAAGTCTGCGTTTGTTTGTGTGTGTGTGTGTGTGTGAGTGTGATGTTGACCTCGTGCTGCTGCTTGAGCTGCTCCATCAGCTGTCTGTACTGTTCAGCCGAACGCGGAGAAACGGCAGACGATCGCGACTGAGACAACCTGTAGTCCTCATCACTGACCGGAGCCGCAGGTACCTACACACACACACACACATATACACATACATACAGGCATGCATAGACACATACATAGATACAGTACACACATGCATGCACGCACAAATACACACACAAATCCACATACACGCACAAAAGCACATACACACATAAACACACATACACACACACATACAAACACAATCATTAGTTAAAACAAAAAACATCATAAAACACACTTGTTTAGCCACGCCAGTATCATTTCTGGTACTGATAAAGTTTTTATTATTAAAAGTTTAAATTTGTTTGAATTATTTAAATATTTTTATAGTTTTCAAACGGTAAGATTTAGTCATTTTGTAGCTGTTGTTTTGACATGTTTTTTCATTGTTGCATTGGATATTTCTGCATGGATTTTATTTAATTTTGGTTTAGTAATTTTACTTTAGTGCATAAAATTGATGAACATAATATTTGTTTTTTTCACAGCAACTTTAAAACCAAAACTGAAACTAGGGTTCATTTAAAAGTGTAGGAAAAAACAAACCACAATAATAATAATAATAATAATAATAATAATAATAATAATAATAATAATAATAATAATAATAATAACTTAATTAGTCTTCATACAAACTACATTTGCATATTTGTAAAGCACATTTGTTTATTATTTAACAATTCAATTATTTTTAATTCACTGTTGATATATAATAATTATTAATCCTCTTTAACATATCCCTAATCAGTCCCTCAGAGATTTTCCGTCAAAATCACAAGCAAAACTCAACAATTAAAGCAGAAAATGCGAGAAGTTTTCATCATTGCGCAAAATTCTGCTAATTCCCAAACCTTAGTGATGTCAACAGGAAGTCCTCCTTTGGCAGCAGTGATCATGGGGTCCAGGCCTTTAGCATTCCTCAGGTGCTGAGCGGCTCCTTGCATGTCCTTCATCTCCTTTGAGCGCAGAGCCGCCTTTATAAACTGCTGCCTGCGCATCGTCAGGAAATCCAGCTGCTGCTGAGCTACAAAACACGCGCACACACATTATCTGGATTATTAATTACAGTATTTTGAACACTGACATTGCAGGAATTGTACATAATCATGAACTGTAGTCGGATTACAAGTATTTTAGAAACGAGTTTAGTGTAATTAAAAGTAATCCAGATAAACACACATACAAATCTACCTTTTCCTCCCATTTTAGGAGTGTTTGTGGATCCAGTCGGCGTTCCCGCGGTGGACGAGGCTTTCGGAGGAGCTGGAGCTCTGGATTTCTGAACAGCAGGTTGAGCTGAAGGCTACACACAAACAGAAGAATGATTAACTGATTTAATTAATCAATTTATTATATAATTTATATATATATATATATATATACATACATATAAGTTATATATATATATATATATATATATATATA